GATCAACGTAAACTCTCCTCAGCTTTGCCTCCATAGAGCCAATTTTCTCTAGGACTTGACCAGAATTAGTCCTAAAAAATGAGTGGCATGTGCACCCATCAAAGGAAACCAATCTACATTCTGAAGAAGCTCTCAATGGATCAGCTTTTTGGAGTTCAACCAAGCTCCTTTGATCATATAAACTCTAGTAGAAGTGATTACAAACCCTTATTCTCAGTCGACAGCGAGTGTCAGCCTCTTGACATGTCTAGAAGACTAAACTGTTTATCAGTACCAACCCCCATCCAGCCGATTGCTTCTTCTACGAGCTCCCACTTGAAAGCCTCCCTACTCATTTTCAACAGAGGGGGAGGAGAAGCAGCCGCTTCTTCTAACAACTCCTTTCTTTGCCTACGGATGGTTTCCTACTCCATATAATTTGAATGCCCGTAATAAGGAGACAGGCTCGCCTCTTTTGACGACGACACATTAGGAGAATGGGAGAGGAATCACTTGGCCTCTGGTCGATCGGGCAATTTTATAAAAGATGAACCGTTGGCGGGAGACAGGCCCGCCTCTTTTGACGACGACACATTAAAAGAATGGGAGAGGAATCACTTGGCCTCTGCTCGATCGGGCAATTTTATAAAAGATGAACCGTTGGCTGATGGATTTGGTGGAATAATAATTGTCAATGATGGATCAATTGGTGCATCATATTTTAAGAAAGAGGGGGCTGCTACCATGGTTTCACTCAGAGTCCTTCCAAAAGCTAATTTTTTCCCATCATCTTCCCCTACATAAAGAAAATGAGAAACAAATTTTCAAGCAATAATAGTAACTGTGTCGGTCACCATATCATGAATGGTCCTTCCAAAAGCTAATTTTTTCCCATCTTCCCCTACATAAAGAAAATGAGAAGCAAATTTTCAAGAAATAATAGTAACTGTGTCGGTCACCATATCATGAATAATAATGATAGTTTCAAACACGGAGGTGAGGTGTCTTGAGGTCACACTATAAGGGAGCGGATCCTCATCTTCTATGGGGTTACCTTTTTTTTGGAGACGCTTTTGCTTCTGGTGTTTAGTGGCATGCTTCTCCTTCAGCACCCTTGCCCGGACGACCTCATCAATGTCCAAGAGACACCCTAATCCTCAATCATCTCGACCTATAGCACATGGGTGACCGTTGCTTCGGTATTGTATTGTGGGACCGAGAGACGGTGAGCGATCAACATCTCCTCAACGGTGTGCACCTCTTCCATGAAAGGCTTTAGCCAGCCCCCCGCTGCCTCTGATGGCTTGGTCCAAATACCCTAGTTGCCAGAACAGGATCCAATCACAAAATACTTTCTCCATTCCTTTATTTTGTTCTCAACCCTAAGCATGTGGAGCTTTTTTCCAGTTGAGAACATGGCAAACCCTTCCCTGTCAACCTTAAATGAGTAAAAGTAGCCAAAGAGGTTAGACAACCTAGCGATGCCTTCCCAGTAATAGAAGAGAATGAAATTCATTATCATGGCTATAAATTTTAGCAATACTTGTGCCGGAATGACCCTAAACATATTGAAGATGCTCCGGAGCTCGGTACACAGAGGCAGCCATAGACCATACTTAAACTGGTCTCAGTAAAAGATTAAATTCTTACCTAAGTTGTTCGTTGCACATGTCGAACCTGACATTCTCTGAAGAATGACACTATCATTGAAAACACATTTCTCTTTCCACTCATTCACATTATTCTCCATCAGGAATGAATGAATAACACCATTGACAAAACTAAAAAGAGTGGGAGAATATTTAGGAGCCATCACAAGCGGCGCAGAGATGATGGAAGATGAATGAAGAAGAACAACCAAAGGCACAGAGAAAGAAATCAAGAAGCATAAAGAGAAAAAAACAGTCCCTCACCCTATTTAAAGGGTGGGCATGTGAAACGAGATATCACATAATGATAACTATCACATTAAGCATCCTTTCATATTTATTAACATATCATTTTATTATAGATAACATTATTATATTTCTGGAATAAAATATTTTGTAAACAGGTCTTCCAAGGCTTTAGTCGAGACATGTCCCATTCAAGTTAACATTTGGAGGACCAACTCTTCACCTAATCTGATCTGGTCCACTCGGTCAGCTTCACACAGAAACTTACTCAAAATGGCCGACTCGTGAAGTGCTCCCAACTCACAGAACCATTATAACAGTCCACGTTGCAAGGTAGTGACATCCATTCACAAGGTCTCTACACATAAGTTTATGGTGACCAGACATGTCGATAGTTTCTACACTGGATATTTGGAAGAAACTCTAGCCGCTCCCTTTGAAGGATTTATTGCTCTCACAAAAGGTTCGACTACACCCATCTGTCGCTCAAAAAAATTGGAGGAAAGCTGCTTCAAATCGTAGTGCCTATTGGGAACCACTGAAGTGGTCAAGCAAGGTCAAAAGAGCGGAACCAGTTGCAAACAAAGAATTGAGTTGCTGATGCACTTCTACATCAACCAAAGGCGGGGGCTTGCTGATCATGCCTTGTGCTCTAGCTGCAATAATAAGACTGAACTCGACACCACCTTTCGATGTTCTGCCATCTTTGCGGTCTTCTGATCCAATTGATTCATCTGCATTAAGATGATGTCAAGCGATTGCTAAAAAACTACAAATGATCAAAGAAAATTTTACATACTAAAAAATATACCCACCGAAGAAATGACTTTCAAAAACTCATCTCTCTCTCTCCCATTAAGGTACCTCCGCCTTTCTATGATGGCAGCAAGGAAGAGCCAGTGGCCGCTGTGTCCTTCGTCTCTTTTCACCCTCTTTAGCACTTTTAGCTACTAGGCCCCGCTTGCCCTCGACAACTGCGCCCGCGCTGATCTCTAGAGTCGGGGCTCATGGGGTGGCTTTTTGGATACTTGCCCTCAGGACCCTCAGACGAGTCGACTTGATCGATCGACACAAGTTTGGGTCTCGACCGCTTCTCTTACTTTACAGTCTTCTTCTTTGTTACAGTGGCAGGGATCCGATAGACCGCCAAACCTAAAATTTTAGGATCCACATCATCTTGTTTCATACCTTCAACCATGGTTTGCCTCAATTATCCGGGAACAAACCTAAAATTTTAGGATCCACATCATCTTGTCTCGTACCTTCAACCATGGTTTGCCTCAATTATCCGGGAAGAACTAGTAGTAAATAAAGTAAATTCTAGCCTTATGGTCCTATTTGTAAGACGCGTTGGGCTCGAAATTCCAAGAAAAGTTAATTATCAAATTAATTTTTCTTAATTTTGATGTCACTCATTGTTTAATTGTTTCCCTCTCCTTGCCGTAGCTATCACTTTCAATGAGAAAAAAAAACTCGGGGAACAAATATACATGCGCCAAAACTGCCAACATGAATCTCAAAGTAATCAAACGACCAAGGACAATGACCAAACAATTGAAGTGTCAGTCTAAAGAAGCATAATCTGAAATTGTCATCTAACGACCGATCAATTGATCGAGTCTACGGATATGTGATGTTGCCAGATCCAATCGGCGGACCACGCTTACGGTTTCAGCTATCCCAGCTCATTTCAAGGATATCTGGACACAACTGGTGGACCAACCGACTTTATCTTGGCAAGAGTGAACACCACAAGACCGATCAAACCAGTCGACCAAACTCAAATACGTCAATCCACTGGCAGCTGTTGTATTACCCTTAATGGAAGCACGAATCAAATATTAATTAGCACATTAATTGCCTTGAGGGTTGTTTCCATAACAGTTCCCTCTTTTCTGTAATCGAAAAGTAGGCCCTTGTAAATAAGAGATCAAAAGATGAATAAATGGACTCTACCCTCCACTCCTCTTCTTAGAATTCTTTGTCTAATCTACTCTCTCTTGCTCTCCTTCTCCCAAACTCCAACTCTTGAGTCGCCTTTTATCTGAAAGAAAATTTAAGATTCAACAAAAAATATAAAAATTTATGTATTTCTATATATTAAATATTTACGATCAATTGATCGAGTCTACGGATATGTGATGTTGGCAGATCCAATCGGCGGACCACGCTTACGGTCCCAGCTATCCCAGCTCATTTCAAGGATATCTGGTCACAACTAGTGGACCAACCGACTTTATCTTGGCAAGAGTGAACACCACAAGACCGATCAAACCAGTCGACCAAACTCAAATACGTCAATCCACTGGCAGCTGTTGTATTACCCTTAATGGAAGCACGAATCAAATATTAATTAGCACATTAATTGCATTGAGGGTTGTTTCCATAACAGTTCCCTCTTTTCTGTAATCGAAAAGTAGGCCCTTGTAAATAAGAGATCAAAAGATGAATAAATGGACTCTACCCTCCACTCCTCTTCTTAGAATTCTTTGTCTGATCTACTCTCTCTTGCTCTCCTTCTCCCAAACTCCTACTCTTGTGTCGCTTTTTATCTGAAAGAAAATTTAAGATACAACAAAAAAAGATAAAAATTTATGTATTTCTATATATTAAATATTTATATTATTATTTCACATATGCAATGAATTTTTGGACGTGTAAAATATTAATTTATATTTTATGACCTGCGAGCCATAACTAAATAAATAAATAAATATAAATATATGAATTCATAATGATACTGAGAAAATATATGTTGACTTAATTAATGGTTAAAAGTTATATTTCCAACAAGTTAATTACTTGTTACACCACGCTGTTAACTAACCGCCATCATAAATCTTTTAGAGCAACAACAAAAAGAAAAAAATCAACACCTCCGCATGTAAATGATTGATAAGAAAATGCATATTATAAAATATATTTTGTCCCGGTCACAAGATAGCTTATTTTATACTTTAAAATATGTATAAAAAAAAACCATTTTTAATCATCCAGAGCTTCTCATACCAATTTTTATTCCTTATATTATAATAACTTGCACAACTTTTATGAGTAAAGGAATTGTAGACATATATAGTTATATATAAGTACTATCCTATGGTTGCCATTTTCTCCAGAAGCCATGACAACAAAACCTGCCAAGCTAGAAGGTGTATAAATAAAAATCTGCAAGGCTTTGCCTTTCGCAACCCATTCCCATCCATTACCCTTTCCTCCATGGGAAGGTCTCCCTGCTGCGACGAGAATGGCCTCAAAAAAGGACCTTGGACTCCTGAAGAAGACCAGAAGTTAGTTCTCTATATCCAGAAGCACGGCCATGGAAGCTGGAGAGCACTTCCCAAGCTTGCTGGTACACTATATATCTCTCTTGCCTGCTATTCTTTCTCTAGCTTCCTTCTCGAAGATTTGAAAAAGGGTGATGTTTTTACTGGCAGGATTGAATAGATGTGGCAAGAGCTGCAGATTAAGATGGACAAACTATTTGAGGCCTGACATCAAGCGTGGGAAGTTCTCCCCTGAGGAGGAGCAAAGCATCCTTAATCTCCACTCCATTCTTGGAAATAAGTAATTAATTAACTTTTCCCCTTAAGTAATTATTCTGCTTTTGCCACTAATGATTCAGAATTCAACTCTCAATCATGAAAGTTGATTTTGAAATAATTTTAAGGTGCATTTACATAGATACCACTCAATTTCTATGTATTTACATATCCCACACCTAAAGTTTACATTTTATATTTGGAGCAATCACAAGCACACCACCTGAAACTTGCTATTTACAAATCCATCAAATTCTTTCATCCATTTTTTAAATTCTCCATCAAATATTAAAGTTTATGGTAAAACCTTAACACATAATTTTTATTTTTATCAAATTCTCAATAATTTGATAATTTCACACATAATTATATGAGTTCGATAGTTCAAAAAAATTATCAAAGTGAATAATTTGTAAATGTTAATATTTCGAATAATCTGCTTGTAATTATCTTTTTTTATTTACACCATCAAATCTAAAATAGTATTATTTTAACTTTTTAAAAGTGAAGTATAGATCTCCATTCATAAATAAGATGATATGAATCTATAAGTTAAATTTTTGAATTAGATATGTGAAGAAAGGAGAATTGAGTGGCATGCATGCAAATAATCCAAAATTACAATTATAAAATTAAGTTCAATTATTTATTTATTTATTTATGTATTATGATGGATTAAATACGCATATCGCGACACATTTACCAGGAAGAACAGACAATGAGATAAAGAACTTCTGGAACACCCACCTGAAGAAAAAACTCATACAAATGGGATTCGATCCAATGACACACCGTCCTCGAACCGACTTCTTCGCCGCACTTCCTCACCTCCTCGCCCTCGCCAATCTCGTCGAGCACCGTCCGTCCACCTGGCTCGTCGACGGCCTAAGCGCCGACGCCGCCAAGTTACAGTGCCTTCAATATCTCCTCCACTCTGCCACTCCACCTTCAGCCGATAACTCCATTAACAATCTCATGAACAGTACGGACCAGTCCTTCCCTTCTTCCTTTGATTCCATCAACATTAACCAGCCACTGTTTAATGCAAGCAGCACGAATATTGATGTGTCTTTGGGCTACGATCAGCCTCTGTTGAGCAATGAGAACTCGAGCTTTAGTTTGTTCAGACATGGAGAAAGCATTGCGCCTCTATCAAATCTTCCTCCTTTGGCTGATTTTTCAAACCCAGGTGATGCATGTAGCACTTCAAGTTGTGTAGGAAGCGCGGCGGCTTCAAGCTGGCCTGATCTGTTGCTTGATGATCCATTCATGTCTGAGTTTGCTTGATCTTAATTTACATCTTTTTCGTTTTTTATTTTCTTTTTTTGGAAGATTCTGAGCTGAAGGAGGATGGAGAGAGATAAATATCATTGGATTTGTGTCTGAATAAATGATTTGTCAACCCAATACAAATCTAATGATATCTTTTTCTCCCCATTCTTCTTTTGCTTTCCCAAGGAATTTTTCTACTTTATTTTCTTGAGAAAATATTAGGTCGTGGGAGTTTCGTATGTTGGCAGTTTAATCATGAAGGCCACATCGTCATATACGTGATGATGTGATCTTTTATGATTAGACGTTCGAATTTGGAGCTCCTTGATGTAATATTTACTCTATTTTCTTCATGTGATTACTTTGTTTGAAACAATTGCTACTCCAGAGTTGTGTGCTGATCAAAAAGTTAATGTTACGGTTTTGATATTAAAGTTTAGTGTATGTATCAGAGAGATAAATATTAGGTGCATTGAGGCCACCCAATCAGAAGAGAGAGAGAGGGTCCCTCCTCTCTTTCCCCATTGATTGGGTGGCCACACATGCTGCCACTGCACCTAATATTTGTTTGTACGGGAGGGACATCAATACTGAAAAAAGTTATTTAATAAGTGTACATGTTAACAAAAGAATAATTAATAATAAATAAATATTATAATTCACAAAGAAGCAAAATAATATTTTTATCATGAGCATCAAAATTATTAATATATAGTATAATAAACTCTAATTGTTTTGTAATTTTTATAGAGCATTCATCTATTTTGAGAAGAAAGTATTTATGTGTATGTGCGAATGATGGCATGATCTATTTCTGGGTTGGTACATTTGGTCCTAATAATATATTTTGCGTGTAGAACTCACCATATTTTTTCCCCTCGTGAATTCATTGCATGGTCCAAATGCAAGTTACGTGGCTCCCTTAGTCTTACGTATACAAAGAGGCATGCATGCAGATATACATAGATGTATACGTACATGGCTGTTATTATACTTCATGTTTTCATGATCGTTCTATTCTTAACATTTATCAAGGCTTCCTTATCCTGCTCTTTTATAGCAGTTAATATTATTTTGTCCTTTTAGTATTAGATTGCAATCACATAAAACTATTATTTATTTGTTATAATAATGAAGCTAAAGCAACTGCTACAGCAGAAATAATACAATTCTGACTGATTGGATTTTAGTATTATGTAAAAACTATTAGTATTGTCATTATCAGTAGAGCAGCAATTAATATTCATTATATTAATTCGAGCTTTCGTTTTCTTTTAGAAAAGATTGGGGAATATTTATTTTTATTAATTAATTAGAAGCTAGAAATTGAGTTTTTTTATTGAAGACATGCCCTTCATTGTTTTTTCTAAGAATAAAATTGAGTTTTGAAGCACAAAATTGATTTAGACAGGATTCAATCTAGGGCTGTCAAAACGGCTCGTTGTTCTTGAACAGTTTGTGTTTGGCTCGTTAAGAAGCTCATGTTCGGCTCGTTCGCTAAGTTAATGAGCCGAACACGAACAAAGATTTGTTCGTTTGTGTTTGGCTCGTTTTGGTTTGAAATACTACTCATTATATGTATATGATGAGTAGTATTTTTAAAAAAAATAATTGACTACAAGTCCACAAAGATTTATGATCAATAAAAAGTATTGATTAAAAAAATAGAATAAAAATTATTAAATTAAATTTAAATGATGTTTTAATATAAACAATAATTTTTAAATCTTGCCCCAACCCTTAACATCTTATGGCTAACGTGATTAGGATTGTCAAAATGACTTTTTGTTCGTGAACAGTTCATGCTTGACTTGCTAAAACCTAAACCCTAAACCCTAAAGCTGAACACGAACAAACTTTTTGAGCTCGAAATATAAATAATCCGAAACCCCTAATTCAAATAAAAAACCATGATAATAAATTTTGAATTTTTTATCAATTAATTTAGCTAACACCACAAAGTTATATCAAAGTTTCCTCACATAGAAGAAGAGCATAACTTCAATTCCTCCATCAATTATTAGTATTTAAATAAATGGGATTCTTTGGCCCTTCGATTAGTTATTTCATTCCTTCAACTATTGGTTAATTAGAATCATTGGCACAAGAATTTTTTGGCATGCAAATGTTGGCAATAAGAATAATTGCAGTGTCTTTGGCAACAAGTATTTGTGGAGGGGCTTCTTTCTTGAGGAGTCTTCCAACTTTAATGTTATAAGGCACGCTTTGTCGTTTAAAATAATAATAAAATAAAGCTTCTTATCCAAAGAAAGGGTTGCTTCATTGAAATTTGTTGAAGAAAATGATTAAAAAAAATTATATTCTAATACTGTAACATATTAATACATCGTATTCCTTTAACTAATTAAATTAGACAAATTCGTTAAGAGCTAGAAGGCTACATGCTCAAGTTACCTTTCGTTTGTTTGGCAAAACTTGTCCCCAATCAAACCAGCTAGTCTTCACACAAATGATTGAACGAATTAATGGCGGAAATGAAACATGTCTAGCTATTTATCTCAAGAAATTACATGGTTGACCCCAAAATGTCTTTTAAAATAGTGACATGATCCAAACCAATCAATGAAATTGTCCAAATAAATGACACCACAAAAAAAATTATGTCACTTTACAAAAATTCAGATTCTAAAGGAACCCAATTCCTTAATTATTATTTTTTTTTTCCAATGAGCAGGTGAGGCTGATATATAGCTTTTCTTGCAAGGGATTGACTCCAAAACCTAAACTTTAGCATATGATCACCATTTTTGAATGCCACCCACAAATGACAACCTTGTCAACCATATATAAATCCTTTATATTGCTAAGTTTTTTTGAGGGGCAGAAGAGCTTGATTAAAAGTGGGTTGTGGTTATGAATATTAGTGAAATGCAGAAAAGTTAAGTGGCAATTGAAAGAGAAATATGCTACCTAATCCTGCCCCATAAGTTGGATACCACATCAAGTTTCTTATGTCACTGATGGAAAGTCTATGACAGGTTACGTGGTATACTCATACAGTTGATTGGAGCATGATGGAAATGATGGTATATTCCTTTCACTAGGTAGATACACTCAACATTTTCTAATCGGTTTATGATTATAGTAGCGAGGCTAGAAACCATATTAATGTTTTGATTTTTTATTATATAATTGGATGAGTTTATTATAATTTTAGTATAGCAAAATAAAATTAACATATAAATAGATAAGTAGATTATGACTCATAAGATCATAAAATTTTTAATGCGAAATATAATGGTAGGAAGCAATTGTGTGTCGTGTTACTTTAGAAAAAAATTCATGAAAGTGTGAGAATAAAGTCTTAGCTTTATATAAGTATCCGCCAGTGACTCCCAATTATACGAACTAAGACAAGAACGCTTTTATAAGGATGCTTAAACAGCTAATGGGTACAACGGTCATTTGGCTATTTAAAAGTGTTTAACCGGTCATATTGTATGGGTCATTGGTATATATATATATATATATA